GGGAAAGCCCCTGGATAAAATATTTTTGCACGAATGAAATCTGGTTTGTCAGCTTCAGAAATGAGGATATTGCCGCCATAGTTTAGGACAGGGATGGCGAACCTTTTAGAGACCGAGGGCCCAAACTGCAACCCAAAACCCACTTATGCATCGTCGGGTGCCGGGTAGGTGTGGCCCATTGGGTGGGTGTGGCCCATTGGGTGGGCATGGCTGTGGCGGTAACGGCAGACTGGGTGGGACTAAAAAGTTCAATCAATCAATTCCGACTTTGCAAGATCTTTTTTTTTCCAGCAAGAAGTTGAAATTGACTGATTGATTGAACCTTTTTTTTTTTTTGCACACGGCGGCGGAGGCCTAAAGCGAAAAGGTTTTATAAAACCCAGCTGAAGGCCTAAGACTGGGGTGACGGTGCGCATGCCCACCGAGACGGCTCTGAGTGCCGCCTCTGGCACCCGTGCCCTAGGTTCGCCACCACTGGTTTAGGATATCTGGATTGGTAGACACTCCCATTTCTTAACGCACTCTGGTGCTCCTTGTATTTTTCTCTTCCACCGTGCTCTGTTTAATTCCCTTTCTGGGAATTTTTAATTTTTTTACTGAGCCGTGGTGACACCGTGGTTAGAATGCAGTGCTGTAGGCTAACTCACTGCTCACTGCCAGGAGTTCGATCCTGACCGGCTCAAGGTTGACTCAGCCTTCCGTCCTTCCGAGGTCGGTAAAACGAGGACCCAGCTTGTTTGGGGCGGGGGGCTGTGTGCTGACTCTGTAAACCGCTTAGAGAGGGCTGTAAAGCACCGTAAAACGGTATATAAGTCTTAAGTGCTATTGCTTTTCTTCTCGGAATATATAAGCTCCAGCTTCTGAATCCGTTTAAGTGCCCTAAGCCTTCTCCTTCTCCCCCTGGCCAAGTCTTACTCATTTCTAGCATGCTTTGGAGCCCAAAGTAAGATAGATTAATTCTTTTTTTTATATATCTCTTCAGCAAGTAGTACAGTTATTGAGGTGGACCCTGAAGGAGAGAGCTCTCTCCAGTTTTAACGTTCTTTGGAACAGGAAGGCGACCTGTGCAGGCTGAAAAGAGAGAGAGAGCCAGGGCTGGAAGCAATAAATGTTTAGGAGGAAACTTTGCGCTGTGTGCCTGTACTTTGAGCCTCCCTCCCTTCCCTGCTTCTGGAGGGCCTCTGTCTAGAATTAGCTGTGGCTCAGAGCAGCTTGGCAGGAGGAAATTAGTTCAGCTGGCCTCCTCTCTAAATGAAAACCTCTCTCCGCCACTTGACCACCTGTATAACTCCGTCACCCGTATCTTCCAGATAATCGTTATGTACCTTCAGGTATTAGAATGTGAACGTAACCAGCACCTGGTCCAGACCTCATGGTAAGTTGACGTTTCTTGTTTCTCTTGAGGCCCGCAGGGCAGTGGCAGGAAAGGTGTCCTAGTTGGGGGCTGTGCGCGTGTGCGCCGCTGCCATGTTCTCGTGGCCTTCCGTTCTTTTTTTTTTTTTTTAAACCCGGAACGCCACCTCCTGCCCCTCCGAGTGGGACGGGCCTCTTTGCTAAAAGAGTCAGACACGCTGTCTTAAATGGTAAGAGAGCGGATCTCCCCTTTGCTCTTCCTTTCTCTCCTGCTGGGGGGGGTGGTGAGGGGCATTTCCCGGTGGGGTTTTGAAGGAGAACATCTGTGCTTGGTGGGGACACCCCCTCTCCCCCCCAAAAAATCCATTTTCCAGCAGGGCCCAGAAGAAAGTAAGCTTGGAAGGGGCCGAAAGCAGCGGTCCTACTATGCCCAGTGTTTGTCGTTCAGAAACACCGTGCCCCGGGCGGGTCTTATGATAGGTGTGGGATGGCAGTTGTTTAACACGAGGGTCCCTAACCCCTGGGCTGTGGCCCATTTGGAATTGGGTTAGACTGGCACGCACGCAGCCCGTGTGTGAGTGGCGGGCCAGCGCGTGCACACAGCTCAACTTGTATGGGCTATCGGACACTTATGCGGCCCAATTCTCCACCACCACCCCACGACCCGCCGCCAAGCCACGACGGTTGGGTATCGCTGTTTTAACCACATAGCTTTTGGGTGGCTAGCGGACCCCCGTCACCTTGCAACGCCGCCCCCACCCCCCATTTCCAGCTTCTGCAGGTTTTAGACTCTTAAAATATCTCTGTTCTACTCCACGTTTGTGTTTCCCGAATCTCAGTCCTAGCCAGTCTCTCCCCCCTTCCCCTATTCTAAGAAAGGGAGCAGCTAACCTGTGTGAACCTACTACCAGGGTGTAAACGTAGAACTCAAAAGCGATTGTTATGAACTGTTCTGGCGTGGCTTGGAAGGAGAACCTGTTTTGACTTTTTTCTTTTTTTCTGTACTCTTTTGATCGAAGGGTAGCCTCTTGAGGGTAAGTGACTAAGACCTCTCCTCTGCTGCCCACGAACAATGGTGCAGGGATTACTGGCGTCTTCAGTCAAACCCGAGCAGGCTCCACAGAGAGACGGCTGACTCTCTAGACAGGTGGTATGCGTCCGCTAGTAGAGTTAAAACCTGGCCGAACTGCTACTTGTGATTTTTATTTCATTTATTATTATTATTATTATTATTATTATTATTTTCTCCCTTTGTTTCCAATCTCTTCTTTTTTATTTTCCCCCGTTTTGTTTGCACACTTCCCCCCCCCCCCAAGATGGGCCTGTGTTACCTTGTCCAGATGCTCTGATGCTTACTTATCATGTTTGATATCTTACTTCAATGCAAATGTTTTGATTCGACTTGGCTTTTCTTTAAAAAAAATAAAATAAAAATAAATAATAAAAAAAATGTGGCTGAGGTTTGGGCTGGGAGGGAGGGAGGGATGGGACGCTGGGTCATTGCACCTGTAAACTCTATTACGCTTTTGTATTGTATTGCAATTATTTATTATTTAAAAGAAAAAAAAAGATGTCACCTTTTTCCGGACTCTTGCGCACATCGTATGGCCTAGATCTTCCGTTTGGACTTTTCAAAAGTCGGATCTTCACCGTTGCCTTCCGGAACAAATCCCTTTCCATTGTGGTTGAATTAGAATTTTTTTTGATTCTCTGCTGGAATTATTGCTGTCTGGTGGGGGTGGGGGTGGGGGAAGGTCCAAGATCTTAATGTTGCATAACCACACTTTTCAAGTTGTTTCCAGGTGCTGCCCTAGATCATTGTAACTCTGGGAAGCCACCACACTTAGTTCATTTTGGTGTGTCTTCTAAACTGAAGTAGCTACATTCAAAGGTTAGTCGTTGTGGATCTAGACTGCCATAGTCCAGAAATGGTTTATTATTAAGCCCTTCTTTACATCCCCTGGACTGGTTTTTTTCCATGTTCCCAAGACAGTCGATTTGGTCAAAGATGCCATCCGGAAGATTCCGGTTTGCATAAAATACAGGTAGTCCTCGACTTACAACAATTCATTTTGGGACCGTTCGAAGTTACAACTTCACTGGGGGGGAAAAATGACCTATGATAGTTTTTCATGCTTACCGACCGTTGCAGCCTCCCCACGGTCACGTGATCAAAATTCAGACACTTGGCAGCTGACTCGTATTTATGACGGTTGCAGAGTCCCCCTGGGGTCATGTGATCCCCTTTTGCGATCTTCTGACAGTGGGGAAGGCAGATTCGCTTAATAACCGTGTTACTAACTGAACTGCAGCGATTCATTTAACCCAGGGGGTCTTCAAACTTGGCCCTTTGATGATTTGTGGACTTCAACTCCCAGAATTCCTCAGCCAGCGTGCCTGGCTGATGAATTCTGGGAGTTGAAGTCCACCAGTCATCAAAGGGCCAAGTTTGAAGACCCCTGATTTAACCTGTGGCAAGAAAGGTCGCGAAAAGGGGCCGAATTCCCTTAACAAATGTCTCGCTTAACAACAAATTCTGGGTTCAGTTGTGGTCATAAGTCAGGGACCCCCTGTATTTTGGACGAGAAAAGGCATCCCTGTTAAATAATTGTTGGTTTG